AGAGTTTGATCCAGCAGGCCTTTTTTTTTTTTTGCTGGTTTCTCTGTCTTGTCATCTGGGATTCCCCCCAATCTTCTTCTTCTTCAGCCATCCCACCTCTACCCCTTTCTCAGAGCGGTCTTTTTCTTCAACCACTCTGGGTTTACTTACAAGGAGGCAAGCGTTTTCCTTTCCCTGCAAAGTGGCTAGCTTTAGAAACTCAAGAATGCTGGAAAATGAAAAATAGTGCACGGAAACTTCCTGTGCATTTTCCGTGCATTGCTTTGCACATCTTTGCCCAGGCCTCACCTTATCTTCCTTGCCTCAGACCAAAACATTTTTTCTTATAATGGGCCTGCTCCAGTTCCGCAATCAGAAGGAGAGGCGTCTCTTTCCTTTAGGTCTTTCCCTTTGACTTGGCGAGCCATTTATTTTAATTTATTTTATATCCCTCCTTTGTTGTTTTTTAAATAACTGAAGGAGACAAACATGCTTAAAGGTCCTTCCCCCCCCCCCAATAGCAACCCTATGAGGTGGGTTAGGCTGAGTGAGAGTAACTGGCCCAAAGTTATCCAGGCGGTTCTCATGCCTAAGGCAGGACTAGAACTCACTGTCTCCTGGAGATTGGCCCAACGTCACCTAGCTGGCTTTCATGCCCTAAGGCGGGATTAGAACTCCCAGTCTCTTGGTGATTGGCCCAAAGTCACCTAGCTGGCTTTCATGACCTAAGGTGAGACTAGAACTCCCAGTCTTCTGGTGATTGGCCCAAAGTCACCTAGTAAGGCGGGACTAGAACTCCCAGTCTCCTGGTGATTGGCCCAAGGTCATCTAGCTGGCTTTCATGCCCTAAGGCAGGACTAGAACTCCCAGTCTCCTGGTGATTGGCCCAAAGTCACCTAGTTGGCTTTCATGCCCTAAAGCGGGACTAGAATTCCCAGTCTCCTGGTGATTGGCCCAAGGTCACCTAGCTGGCTTTCATGCCCTAAGGTGGGACTAGAACTCCCAGTCTCCTGGTGATTGGCCCAAAGTCACCTAGTAAGGCGGGACTAGAACTCCCACTCTCCTGGTGATTGGTCCAAAGTTACCCAGCCAGTTTTCATGCCTAAGGCAGGACTAGAACTCCCAATTTCCCGTTGTCTAGCCTGGTATCTTACCAATTTAGACCAAACTCATCACAAAACCCTTTGATTGGTTAAGAGGGAACACAACCTTGCTCCCCTGTCCCACAGCTGCTTGTATAATGGGGGCTCTGATAAGCTAGGAGACGGATCCTTTCCGCATAGGAAAAAAAACATTTTTCGAACGCCAGGCTCAAGAAAGCGGGGCAGTGCGTCCCTTATTTCCTTCTTCCTTATAGAACGAATCAAATAAACATGGTTACAAGGTTATTCGCTGTAAATTACCTGGGGGAAAAAAAAATCACCTTGTTTTTCTTGTACTTTCAGCGGTCATTCAGAAAGTAGAAAAAGACTTTTGTTTCCTCATTTTTAGTGTCCCTGCTGATTTTGGCTTGCATATTATAAAATCTTGTGCAATGCTTCAAGTTTCTCTTTCTGATCTTTCCTGGTTATCTGGTTTTCTTTTTTTATTGCTTGCCCGGTTCAAAACCTTTTGCTGCTGCCAAACATTTAAAGGCAGAGCACAGGACTTGCTTTATATGCAAAGGTCATCAGCTCAATCATTACCTTTTCCGGATAGGACTAGAACTAAAGATTTGTGCCGGCCCAACCTTCCCAAATAGGGATGGGCAGAGTTGCGTCGAAAATGGCCAAGTTGATTTACTGATCACAAGCGCATACATGTGGCCTATGTTGGAAACATCCTCAATTTAAGAATATATATTCTCCAGGATATATTCGCAACGTTTGTAGGAGGTCAGCCAACTAGGTGTGCATCCACCTGTGCTCCACATCACATTTTGCTTTTAAATCTGTCTCTCGCATGAGCTTAGAACAGGGGTAGGCAACCTCGGCTCTTTTATGACTCGTGGACTTCAACTCCCAGAATTCCTGAGCCAGCCACGCTGAGGGGAAAGGGAGGTTTCCAAGCTGAGCCATGCTGGCTGAGGAATTCTGGGAGTTGAAGTCCACGAGTCTTAAAGTTGCCAAGATTGAGGACCCCTGATATAGGGCAGGGGTGGGGAACCTTGGCTCTTTTATGACTCGTGGACTTCAACTCCCAGAATTCCTGAGCCAGCCATGCTGAGGGGAAAGGCAGAGGTTTCCAAGCTGAGCCATGCTGGCTCAGGAATTCTGGGAGTTGAAGTCCACGAGTCATAAAAGAGCCAAGGTTGCCTACCCCTGGCCTAGTCCTCACCAAATGCTGTGGAGTGCTCTCAGCCGGAGGGAATTCTGAGAGTCGTCGTTCTGGCACATCCAGAAACCTCTAGTGTGTACAGATAGTCTTCGACTTACGACCACGATTGAGCCTAACATTTCTGTGGTTAAGCAAGACATTTGTTAAGTGGGTTTTGCCCCATTTTGCAAACTTTCTTGCCACAGTTGTTAAGTGAATCACTGCGGTTGATAAATTAGCAACCCGGTTGTTAAGTGAATCCGGCTTCCCCATTGACTTTGCTTGTCAGAAGGTCGCAAAAGGGGATCACGTGACCCTGGGACACTGCAACCATCATAAATAGGAGTAAGTTTCCAAGTGCCTGGATTTTGATCACGTGTTGCAACGGTCATAAGTGTGAAAAACGGTCATAAGTCACTTTTTTCAGTGGCACTGCAACTTTTAAACAAAACAAACTGTTGTAAGACGAGGACTAACTGTATAAGAATGCTGTTGAAAATATTGAATAAAATAGATCTGGTTTAATAAAGCAGCTTGTTGATTCCTAGATAATTTGAGAAAACTAACTGGCATTCTTGAGTGAGGGAATGGTAGTTACCACCTTCTAAAGACAACTTGTTCATATGCGCATATTCATAACTCAAAATATCTATAAGTCCTCTACTTAAGACCATTTTTTAAATAGTGCTTTGGAGGATTTAATTTTATTTATCTATAGCCCGCTTTTATTATTTTCATAAATAGCTCAAGGCGGTGAACATATTCAACGCACCTTCCTCCTTTTCCAATGGATTTCAATCATTCATTGCAGGTTATCAAATCTATAGTAACCAAATTATCAAATGCGAATAGATTTTTGAATGTAAAGATCGTTGATATATTATTAGCAACAATATCAAATACAGTGTTACCTTCACGGATGGACAAATTGCAGTGAGTTGGGTGGCAAACAAATTTAACTTAATAAATAAAATAAATGTTCTACTCCTAAACTGAGCTTGCTGGGCAATGTTTTTCAGTAGGATCTGTCTTTGAATTCAGCTCTCCATCCTCTGGCCTCTAAAAATATTACAAACTTTGTAAATAACATTTGTTACTTGTGATCGTAGCTGGGAATGTCCAAAACTATACAAACTTGAGTTTTTATTACCTGACACAAATTTAAATATTTTTAGTAGTTCTGTGAGAAGAGGAAAAAAAATTCCACTATGGAAAGATACCTTATTTAATTTTTTTTATTTTTTGGGGGGGTGGCTTGTCAAAGTTTAACTCTAATGTCTAGCTGTCACAAGGGTAGGCAACCTTGGCTCTTTTATGACTTGTGGACTTCAACTCCCAGAATTCCTGAGGCAGCCATGCTGAGGGGAAAGGGAGAGGTTTCCAAGCTGAGCCATGCTAGCTCAGGAATTCTGGGAGTTGAAGTCCACGAGTCATAAAAGAGCCAAGGTTGCCAACACCTGCTCTAGGTCTTTAGGCAGCACAGGGACCTCCAAGTTGACTAAAGATGTGAAATCTAATTTGCTCAAATCAATGCTGGATACGGGGCCCATTGAAAAGAAACTGGCCCTGCTTCCTTCATGATACTTCAAAACATGAGGAGAAACCACTGTTGTGTGTCCCTTTCTGAACAATCCAGTTGGCCTGTGCCATGATTGGCAGGTGTGTTCTTCTAAACCAGGGGTAGGCAACCATGGCTCAGCTTGGAAACCTCTCCCTTTCCCCTCAGCATGGCTGGCTCAGGAATTCTGGGAGTTGAAGTCTACAAGTCATAAAAGAGCCAAGGTTGCCTACCCCTGCGTCTAGTACAAAGCAGTTTATAATCAGAAACATATTGATCCCATAAAATATGTACTTCATTGAACATATAGTTGGTGCTCTAAAGATTAGAATGCCATAACATTTTTGGCAAGGAATGTCGAAGTGCAGATGTCACGTTCTATGAAAAATGGAAAAGAGCACAGAAATGGAAAGTTCTGTTATTGTTGGAAACTTGACAGCCATTCTTTTTTTATTAAATGCTGCCATTGGAACAAATCTGTGAAAATATTAGACAAACTTTGCATGTCATACCTGATGATAACATTGTGTGGATTCCTTGCGTAATGATCTTGAATGACTCTTTTTGTGTTTATTTCTCCCCCCTTGGCCATTTATGATTCTATACAGATAGTTCTCGACTTACAACCCGTTCATTAAATGACAATTCAAACTTACAACGGCACTGAAAAAAGTGACTTATGTCCAGTCCTCACACTTACGACCGTTGCAGCATCTCCGTGGTCAAACCTTGGGTGCTTGGCAATGTGCACAATCCCGGGGTGCTGGGATTGTCACTTGCAAACTTCTTAGGGAGCTTCTGGCAAGCCACGTCAATAGGAGAAACCAGATTTATTTTAATGACCGTATTATTCACTTAACAAACTGTAGTGATTCTCTTAATAGCTGTGGCAAAAAGGTTGTAAAATGGAGCACAGTTCACTTAATAACTGCCTTGCAACAAAAATGCTGGGCTCCATTGTGGTTGCAAGTTGAGAGCCAATCATATCTCTGTTCATTTAGGATCCGTAGCATTTGTTTCAAAATTATTTTTCAATAAAATATTTTACTTGAAAAATAATCGGACACCCAGGAAGCATGTGTAGAAAATTTGAAGATTGTGTATTCCTCTGTTATTAAGGCTTCACAGTTTATTTACTCCGGCTTTTTCCTTTTATTTCTCTTCTTAGTTTATTCCCATGCCTGTCCTGTATGGTGTGTTCCTCTACATGGGTGTTGCCTCCCTCAACGGAGTGCAGGTAAGTGTTGACCCCTGCCTTATGGTCATGTACACCTCTTAACAACTCCGTCACTAAGTGATTGCAATGGTGGGCATTAAGTCAGTACTATCTGTATGTCAATCAGCATACAGGCATGCAAATCTAGGAATAATTGGACCCAGCTAAATCTTTTGTGATTATTTGAAGCTTATCAGTGCCTTATTGATTTTTGATGGTTTATTATTGATTATCAAGTTTCTGGAGAATGTATGAAAGGACTCATATGGTGTTTATACAGGGCCATTTTTTCCCCCTTGCCTACACCATTGTTACATATTTGTTTTCAGGAAGAATAGTTTAAAAAAATCTATTAAGTAACAAGATAGAGCTGCCCTCTGCAGAAATGCTCAGGTTTCATTTTTGGAACAGATTTATTCAATTCAAAGGTTGTCCTCCTGAGATGATAAATCTTACCAGTAACTTTAGATAAGGGTGGCAAGAAACGCACACCTTGGTCTTTTAGCAAATACCCACAAGGTTCCTTGTAAAACAAATGCATGTGAAAGTATCATAAAACATTTAGCGTGGACTTTCTCCCTCAGATCAAGTTCATTTCCTGGTGAGTTCGTGGCTGTATCCATGTGGTTTTCTTGTCAACAGCACAGAAGTGGTTGGCAACACCCTTTGTACAATTTCCCACTTTCTGCATTTGAGCAGATCAAACCCTGTTTTGTGTTTCAAGATCAAAATCAGCTAGATAAGCGTTAACAGACATGCTGTAGCTGTATATCACAACGCCTATGCTTGTCTTAATTAATGCAGTGTTTAAATATCCAGAAAATGGCAAGGGTGTCTAGTAAGCAATAAAGCAGAATGAGAACGTTGTAACTGGTAAATTCTAACTAAGAAACAGCCAGGTGGGTCTTCTGGAAAGTGCATACCACAATTCTAGTATCTCACCATGAATATTCTGCTGCATCAGGAGCAGATTTAACTGCCTTGTAAGGTTTTACCTAAACTAGAGTCTTCTTGAAAGAAAGAAGAGAACATAATCCATAGATATACTCAAGAACATTTGAGACTTGATACAGTCTAACTCTAGGAACGGACTTCATAATTTTT